TAAAGTGATTTAAATCACTGATTTTTATTTTTAAAATCAAGTTGATTAAAATTTAAAAAATCAACTGATTTAAATCAACCCAGCTGTGATTTCAATTATGGGGGGAAAAAGTAAATTGAATACTGTATTATTTTACAGTGAAAGGGTGGAAAGAAGACTTTTAAGGATTTATTATATTAGTCTACTAAACCTTATATCTGTTTTATGAAACCAAGGAAAGGAATTCTGAATGTTGAAATAAGTAAAAACTGAATAAAAATAATTTTTTTTAAGGTGATTTAAATCACTGATTTTTTTTTTAATCAAGCTGATTTAAATTTTAAAAATCAACTGATTTAAATCAACCTGATTTAAATCAACCCAACCCTGGATCTAAGGCGATGTATAAAGCTGATCTACAGTGATGATCGGCCTGGTTCGACTCCATATCGGCCTGGTCTAGATCCGGATTTTAAAAAAAAATTTATTACTTGTGGGGGGGGGGGTAAGTGTTTTACGACGTTCACAACTGTATAAAGTAATATGAACGCGCAAGACACATCTGTCTGTCTGTCTCACTCTTTCTTTGCCTTAAATGCCCGTTATTGTATAGATAGGCTTCTAAATTACTCCAACAAAAACACCTACAATTCACAACAAAATCCCCATAATTCACAACAAAAAAAACCCCACATTTCAAAACAAAAACACCACACATATTTTACACAAAAAATCACCCACAATTCACAAACAAAAACACCCACACTTCGCAACAAGAACACCCACAATTCACAACCAAACCACCCACAATTCACAACAAAATTCACAAAAAAATCACCCACAATTCACAACACAACCACCCACAATTCACAACAAAATCACCCACAATTCACAACACAACCACCCACAATTCACAACAAAATCACCCCCAATTCACAACAAAATCACTCACAATTCACAATAAAATTGTCAACAATTCACAACGAAAGCACCAACAATTTTCAATAAAATCACTCACAATTCACTACCAAACCACACACAATTCACAACAAAACCACCCACAATTCACAAACAAAAACACCCACAATTCACAAACAAAAACACCCACAATTCACAAACAAAAACACCCACAATTCACAACAAAACCACCCACAATGCACAATAAAAATCACCCACAATTCACAACAAAATCACTCACAATTCACTACCAAACCACACAAAATCACGCCCCATTTACATCAAAATCACCCACAATTCACAAACAAAACCACCCACGACATGATCAAACTTATATTGTGGATGCCAGAAGTGTACCCACTATTAGAGACTCTTAAAGTAAGTAAACATTTTTAGCATGTTATTTTCTCGTTTGACCCCTACTGTGTTTGAGACCCACTACAAACCGCATCATTGATTCAAATAGTTTTGTTTGAACACATAATATCATTTTTATTATTCAAGTAATTCCAATTATTATGTAGATCTAGGTCATGCACAACTTTACAATTTATCTATATAATATATAAGTGGACTTGGGAGGCTTGGTGTACAAACACCTCCCTTATTACCTAACCCACACCTTTGAATCTTTGCAGGCGTCTGCAGCATCCATGTGGCTAGGATCTAACTTGGAGGCCCTACTAGGACTAGTAGATTGATAAGATTGGAAATTCCTGTACCATTCGTAAGATTCAATTGAGGAGGGGGG